TTTACCAACAGTTCCCATAAACTTGTTTTTGGCTTATCTGCATAAGATAGTGATTAGTATAATGCATTTTAATTTATCATTCCTTCCTTCCTTATTTTGTTGTTGGTCACAAGGGGGCTGATCTCTCAAGGTGACGGATTACAGCTTTCTAGATAAAAAAGTATAGTTACAAATGGCATACCGCCACTGAATCGCTGGCATATAAAAATAAGAAGATACCATATATGTGTGATCCGCGTTTCAGAACGGGCTGAGGCTTCCTCGCTCATAATGCATGCAGAAAACAGCTTTTATAAAAATAGTCGTGAAACGGATAATGGCTTACTTTTTATTTTGACACATAGGCGCACAGCTAGTCGGAGTATGAAAGTGCTGGGGAAACCCATCGAGCTAATACCCCTCACGAAAGCTGATCCCGTGGGGACGGTTCCATGGATGGCCGTATTACGTTACTTGAACTTTTGACCAACTCAGCACCAGTTGTTTTTCCCAGTTCCTTACTCTCTCTCTCTGATACCTTCAAAATGGCAAGCACTTCAAAAACCTATTTGTGATCCGTTGTATAAAGAATGCACCATTAACTAGTTTATACGATCTCGAGGTACAAATTGATGAGGCCACTCAGTTGGACTGTGCGTCGCACCGTCGAGGAGTGCACAGTTGATTTAATACTTTATTCCGTTTGCTTAGACAGACAGGACACCTTAGTAAACCATCTACTCTATGTGCCAAGAACAAAATGGCATTTGTATCACAATGAGTAGAGAGTTGTAATATTGTTTCAAGGTACAACTTGTGTTTACACCTATTTATGAGCTGTGTTAATTGTCAAGATGCCGCTTCGCTGTTTTTAAACGAAAAGACGCTTTAATGAGAGTAGGTTAGTAGCAGTATCAATATCTACGTAAGGTATATGTTTCAATCGTGCCTTGTAGTGCGAACAAGCTCATACGCCACTTCACTGGTCACATTCGTGGTGCTGTTATTAACAGCAGCTGTTTTAGCAAATTCAGTGACATTGTGGGGATTAAGTTTGGCTAGCTTCTGTGTAGTCGAACGCTCCACCAGTAGCCACAGTTAGCAAAAGGTAATCGCTAAAATTCCTTTTGTTTCTTTCACTTTATTTACTTTAGATTTGATCACAGAGTGGTCAGAGAAACAGCTATTCTGTGGTTTCTCACTGGTACTGACAAATCATTTCGGTAAACCGTAGTAATTTAACGACCTAAAAACCTAAAATATTTATTTCCTCTGCACCTAACAATAGCAGGTTTGCGTAAACGTTACTTTAAGTATCGGTTACTATTTATATAGGTTTATTCAAAAGTCGCCTTTTTTACGTCAAACCAGATGCTACGAATTATGATACCTTTATTTACTGTTTCCCGTTTTGCATGAGATCAACCTAACTGATGTTAGTATGCCGGTTACCGCAAAAGTTATCTGTTCAGTGTTTTACGGTTAATTCATTTTTAGCTTGAAACCATGCATATCACTTGTATTGTAAGTAGAAATAATTTTTTAAGGGCACAAAAATAACACATTATAACGATGCAACATCTAAGTAAATCTGAAACGGTAAGCGATTGGTAGCCTAATGATTACAAGTTTTATATACTGCCAAGTTTAAATTTATGCAAACTGGCTGATATCACACTATACTTCCTGAACCCTCGATCAAAAGTCTTTAATCTTACAGGTATATGATCACAAGGTTTGTGCATAAAATGGTTTTCTCTTAAACACAATAATAAAATAACTGCTCACTAAATGCTTTGATACTGCACTAGCGAAAACAAACTCTAATTCATCAATTATTAAAAAAGCCAACTTTGTTTAATGCGGTTCTAGGGTCTAACAGAACATCTCAAAAGTGTTGGTACTCAAGTTCAAGTCGCAACTTTTAGTGAACTAATGCTAGACCTTTGGGAATATTACGCAATCATATTAGTTATATTTCTCAGATTTAGACCATGGTTCAAGTACAGAGCATACTGTAATTGTGAACGTTCGCCTACAAATAATTTTGTACACATCATACGCAATAGTTCAAGCGGGCGCTTCGTATAACATATAAATATTTAGCATATTATATAGACTTAGCCTCATTTGGGGTTCTATGCCCAAATTTCTTGCGTTGACTGCAAAGAAATTCGTAAAACATTATGGCCCCTCCAGATGACAAATACCATATCGCGTAAAGTAATCCGTTTAACCTATACAGGCTGATAACAACAGGTTACCTTTGAAGTTTGTGTATAAAAGTTATTGCAAATAAACGTGTGCATCCATTTAAATCTGAATTTTGTATGCCTATTAAGAGTACTGTAGGGTAAAAAGCCCTAGCTAAATGTTTTGGCATTGCACTGAGTTCTTTGGTTGCAGTTAAGTAACTTGAGTAAAATTAATTAGTCTCTAAACATTAGTCAGTTTGCTGACCCATTTTCTATGGCATTTGTCGCACTATTATAAATGGATTTTGAGAAACATCAATTAAAATGCTTGCCATTTAGAAGAAGATTGGCCAGACATTTGTAAGATTGGGGGGAAAATGTAATAAAAAAACATACAAAATGTAGACAAAGAAATTTTCTGCAGATTTTTACATTTATGAAAGCTCAAACGCTATTCCAAAGTTAACCGTAACAATTACCTAACTTCTATTTTGCGGAACGTTCTTAACTTTTATTAGCTACTGCTTTGTTTTTAGTGTTTGACTTGTTAACTTGTTAGTTAAATGCTTAAAAACGTTTGAAGGCAGTACGCAAGAATAATTGAAGTAGTTTTTGATAGTTGTTACACGTATCGGTGGATTGAAGGTCAACATTTAGATGCCTTTCAGAAATAATTTTATTTGAAGTGGATAAAACTAGTTTAATATGAATAAATAATTCCTTAGCTGTACGCCGTAAAGGCGATTCGCTGCAGCACGACCACAATGAGTCGCGCGTGGGCTCAGTATACCGCGTGGACGACGGCTTCTACGTAAGCCAGGCGTGCAGACCATTCGGCTACCGGCCGACAGTTGGGATATAGTAGATTTTTGTTTTTTCTGGGAAACACGACTTGCGGTTGCTAGATTTATAGCGTACATAGTACAAAAATTGACATTTGCATCAATTTCATGTAAAATTGGAAGGCGGCTAAGAAACAAATTAATTTTGCTATACTAGTAAGTTGCCTAAATATAAGATTAAAAGCAAAGTTGAATAGAACAACAAGTAAGTTTAAGCAAATTGTTTAATATTGGAGGCTACAACAGCCAACTCTGGTAAAGATGGTTGATGCTTCTTTCCAGCCGCATAATGTTTTACAAGAACTATAGACTAAACTGAAACAACATGGGACAAATCTACAGTTTATTCTAAAACATGAAGAACTGTTGATGCTTCATATTACAAAGTAAGCTACCTCACCGATAAATAGTGCATAACTTATATAATTTCAAGTTCAAATCAAATGAATTTGCGCATTTTTATACAAAGACCTAGGAGTGTAAATTGATAACAATCAACTATTTAGTAGAACTGTTTTTAAAACAGGTAAGGGAAGCATCCGAATGCTGTAATACTACCGACCTTACCGATAGTTTACTCAAAATGTTGATGATATAATTGGATTTTATTTTCAATAATATTATGCTATTTGTAAACAACCTTTAGCTAGCTAAAATGTCAGATCTAAAAAGGGCAAGAAAGTAGTGCAAACCGCTCCATTGTTGTGACAGATCAAAACAGTTAGTAAGCAAAATATGCACCAGTTTGGCAATGCAAGTCTAGTCTGTTACCATACCCGCCGCATACATATTATTTAATAAATGAGCAATTTAAAGCATTATGTACCCATGTGACTGCTGTGCTAGCATTGTTATTCCAGGCTTCCAATGAAATAATAACGCATCTAAGTATAATGTGGAAGAGCAGAATTGAATGTCTTCAAGTTTTACATTTCACTTCTTATCAAGGTTTATTATCAAAGGCTCCTATTGCCAACCAACAATCTTAATTGACAGCACTTATGTTGACTCTATCAGCGTTCTAAATTTGGTGAAACCTCGGTAGGTTTCGAAGTGGAGGCAGTAAAGGACTGTAAATGGGTGACCAGGAAGAAAACAGATATAAACAAGTTGCGTAAATGCAAAAAAGCAGCAAGCCAACTAAACTTTGTCAAGGAATACTACATTTTAAGTTTAGGAGAACATCTAATGATGAGAAGGAAAGTAAAGCTTGTGTTCATATAAGCCGTAATCAAAGCTAAAGGACTGAATTGACTATGGACTAAGAATGTAAGAGAAAAATGTACCTTTCGTGATGCCAGTAAAACCACGTAGAAGGAAGCCGAGGTTTTGACACGGTGGCTACAGCGAAGTATAAAAACCTAACGTTTTCGGTGACGCGAACCAATGAAAGTTGTGGAAGACGATTAACTGTCACTTCACGAAACTATTGATTATATACTGTGATTGCTAGCTGATAGACAAAATATAAAACTTACGTTAGAAACTTAGTAGCGTTAAGCATCTTAGAGTTGTTTGACAAATTCTCGAAAATACAGTAACAAGTAGAAACCGCAAAGCATCGACGAATCACTTACAATCTATGGTCAAATGTGACTGTATCAATCGTTTGCCGGCGTTTATACGCCTGACATATTTAGGATCTAAGTGCTTTAATGACCAAACCTAAAAAGATGAAACCCGCAATACTCAGATTTCAGAAAATAGCCAAGTATGAATTGTGTGGCCGTCAATGACAGCAGAAACTGTAGCGTTATAGCGATGAAGGAAAATTTAAAAACGATTACATGTTTTTGTTAAGGTGCACAATTTATAAACTTATTCAGGAATATTTTTATGAAGCCTGCTTGTTGTATTTACGCTTCTAATTAAGCGGCATCTTTAATGCAACGCAAATAATTGCATACCTTCATTTTTGATGGTTTTTATCCATAGTTACTTCGCGACATGTAGTATATACTTCTAACTATACCATTATTCTCACCTATTTCTTAACCTTGCATGATTGTACGGCTGAACGCCATTCACCAATCCTGATGCAGCCAAAACGAAAGCCACGTGCGCGCGAGAATATATCCATGGTTTGAAACAATGTCGGGCCATTCAAGCAAATGAAATAAATCAGTATCATAAAACAAAAACATGAAGTAACATGGAATATTCGCGCAATTGCCCAGTATAACTGATTATTGATTGGTGTAATTAACTGTCTTTTGCACATTTGATGGACGAACTTTAAGCTAGATGCTTTTGCAGCGGAAAGTACATCGTTATGCAGGGCAAACAAGTTGACGAACATTTGTTTCCGCGTCGGAGGGTTGCTGTAACAAGGCGACAGGTAGGCGTAGAAGGCTACTGCCGTTTACATTTTTATCTTCCAATTTCACGTATGATATCGTTAGAGTAACCAGTTCGCGTGCAAGCTTTCGCCATTCATACAGTCACCTCAGGTGTGGTCTTCCTTCGACCACTGTAACAACACCGTCCAGCTCGCCTCAAAGTGTAAGTCAGGCCGGCACGAATCCATTTCTAACTCACAACGGGCTAGTCATGAGAATGTCCAACCGCCTACGCAATATCTATTTTGAATTGCAGCACATTCGGACTATTATCAACAACCTGCGAAAAACCACAAGTCTACCAATCAGGCGCATTCTACAACGAGCAAAGAAACCTGCGTATTTAACATTTTGTATAATAGCCTGCACATTTATACAGATGCATGGTGTCGAAATTGGAATAGTAAAGGGTTCGTACAGGGAGGCTTCGCAAATATCGGTTGGTATAGTAGTTTGATTACGTTTCGCCCTTGACACAAGCACTTCGTCAGACCAGGGAAAACAATGTGGAATTGGGGTGGGAATTTATGGCGAACACGGGCGATAACCGCGTTATCCGAGACTTGCGCCATGGTGGCTTTACATCAACCGTTCGTGATGTCGCCTCATCTGGTCCAATCACGGTTGGAATAATCTAGGCGTACCTTTGTTCGTCAAGACGCTGACTGACAGGCCCATAGTGTTGATAATGGGATTTGGGTTTCACTTTCCAATCCGGTTCATGCATCAATGCTAGTCAGTCTAAACGGCTTAAAACCGCTCGCCACGCATTACCCCTCCATTGTACTCACGCATTAGTCAGATTTGGCAAGTTCCACCGCCTCGGCGAGCAAACGCTGAGGGGTTGATGGTATACCCTTACTAATGACCTCTACGTTTTCCAAGTCTATCCGGTGATGTGTGTATGATGTACGCACAGCCGCGGCCGAGTCTCTCACTATTGCCTGGCATTCTAACTCGTTTCTTGGTGGTCGTGAAATGCGCCTCGTGTGGCGCGAAATTCGATGAACGGTTATGTAGTTTAGTAGGCTGGTGGTATCCGTTATCGTTGCGATATATGGTTGTCCTTACATTGCCCCATTCCTGTGAACCGGGCAGTCAAGAATTGTTATTGTACCGCTACAGCATTCCAACTAAATGGTAAACTGTATCCTTTTTAGCAATGGAGTTTAAGTGATCAAGCAACTACTCCTTCTTATCCAGCTTAACAAGTACAAAGATGTCGTCTACCTAAAGCCAGCAAACTGTTGGTGAGTCAATGGTGCTTGTTAACGCCAGTCCTCGAAATCTTCCATATACAGGTCCGCCAGTAGAGGGGAGATTGGCGATCCCATGAACATACTTTGTTCCTGACTGTAAAGCCTCGACTGAAAAACGAAGTAAGGCGTGTAAAGACGCCTGTCACAGCCTCGATTTTCTGGTTAACCGTTAGTTTCGTCCGATCAATCAAAGGGACGTCTTCATTTAGACAAGGTCTTTCTATTATTAACACCTCATTTTTTGGTATATTTGCGAAAAGTGATGTGGCATCGAAGCTGACCAGCAAATCATCTGACTCAGTGTTGAGACTTGCTATCATTTGAGCTAACACATAAGTGTTTTTCACTAATGTACTCGTGCGCTCTGTTAGAGGCTGCAATATGCTTGCCAGATGTCTAACAAGTTCATGGGTCGCGGATCCTGACCGTCGACTATGGTGCGTACGGGAACTTCTGGTTTGTGAACACTTGGCAAGCGATAAACCATTGGAGGCAAAGTCGCATTTGGGTATAAACAGTACCACTTGCCTGTTCAGCAACCGTCCTTCAAGGTTCTTAAATGTTTATCAACCACCTTTTTACGCTTGTTCATTAGAGACCAAAGGTATTATCAACAACTACTCTATATGTACCCGTATTCATAGGTCATCCATTTTTCCATATATTCTGGCCTAGTCCTTACAACCAGAATTTTCCCATTTTCAAGGTCTGTAAAGCCGATGACGCAATATTGCTTCAAGGAATTATAGGCGATAAGTTCAGTTTGCGCAAGAGTTGGCTCAAGCCGTTTCTGTAACCTAACGCGATTTATTAAATACCCAGATATTCTTTGCATTTCCAGCAGACAACTGTCTTCTCGTCCTAAATGCTTAGGATAATCTCTTCCACATATGGGTTAGAATTATGGATGTTAACTATCAAACATTCATCTAAAAATCTACATTTTGTTGGTAGTTACTTAAGAGCCGTGAAGGACGATTGCTGGGCAGGCAAGTGGTACTGTTTATACGCAATTGCGACTTTGCCTCCAATGGTTTATCGCTTGCCAAGTGTTCACAAACCAGAAGTTCCCGTACGCACCATAGTCGACGGTCAGGATCCGCGACCCATGAACTTGTTAGACATCTGGCAAGCATATTGCAGCCTCTAACAGAGCGCACGAGTACATTAGTGAAAAACACTTATGTGTTAGCTCAAATGATAGCAAGTATCAAAACTGAGTCAGATGGTTTGCTGGTCAGCTTCGATGCCACATCACTTTTCGCAAATATACCAAAAAATGAGGTGTTAATAATAGAAAGACCTTGTCTAAATGAAGACGTCCCTTTGATTGATCGGACGAAACTAACGGTTAACCAGAAAATCGAGGCTGTGACAGGCGTCTTTACACGCCTTACTTCGTTTTTCAGTCGAGGCTTTACAGTCAGGAACAAAGTATGTTCATGGGATCGCCAATCTCCCCTCTACTGGCGGACCTGTATATGGAAGATTTCGAGGACTGGCGTTAACAAGCACCATTGACTCACCAACAGTTTGCTGGCTTTAGGTAGACGACATCTTTGTACTTGTTAAGCTGGATAAGAAGGAGTAGTTGCTTGATCACTTAAACTCCATTGCTAAAAAGGATACAGTTTACCATTTAGTTGGAATGCTGTAGCGGTACAATAACAATTCTTGACTGCCCGGTTCACAGGAATGGGGCAATGTAAGGACAACCATATATCGCAACAACAACGGATACCACCAGCCTACTAAACTACATAACCGTTCATCGAATTTCGCGCCACACGAGGCGCATTTCACGACCACCAAGAAACGAGTTAGAATGCCAGGCAATAGTGAGAGACTCGGCCGCGGCTGTGCGTACATCGTACACACGTCACCGGATAGACTTGGAAAACGTAGAGGTCATTAGTAAGGGTATACCATCAACCCCTCAGCGTTTGCTCGCCGAGGCGGTGGAACTTGCCAAATCTGACTAATGAGTGAGTACAATGGAGTGGTAATGCGTGGCGAGCGGTTTTAAGCCGTTTAGACTGACTAGCATTGATGCATGAACCGGATTGGAAAGTGAAACCCAAATCCCATTATCAACACTATGGGCCTGTCAGTCAGCGTCTTGACGAACAAAGGTACGCCTAGATTATTCCAACCGTGATTGGACCAGATGAGGCGACATCACGAACGGTTGATGTAAAGCCACCATGGCGCAAGTCTCGGATAACGCGGTTATCGCCCGTGTTCGCCATAAATTCCCACCCCAATTCCACATTGTTTTCCCTGGTCTGACGAAGTGCTTGTGTCAAGGGCGAAACGTACCCAAACTACTATACTGACCGATGGCTTTCGAATTATTTTACTTCTGCCTGCTAGCTGGGTTCCATTTATTTTCCAACCATTGTAATTCTTCTGTTTTTTTTTAAATGTTTGCTTCTGCTACTGCATTCGCTAGTGTTGCAGTGGCCACTAATGGAGTCAGGTTTTGACTTGGGGCAATATGAATGTTATCTGGCTATTATCATGAAAAGCTCACTAGTTTGGGTTTACTGGAACTAGTAATGTGTGCGTAAATATTTTATTCTCAGTACGTGTTCCAAGCACACCACTTCATACGGATAAATAATATTTTTTGAACATACGCAGATTCAGGCACAAAATTTAATACCTTCGTTGAGAATCAATAGCAATTATAAATTTGCTCAACCAATTTCTAAACCTAGTTCTGGTTTCAATTATGGAGAATATGTGTGCAAGTATGACATGTGAAAATGGTGTCCCCTAGAAATATCACCTTCATGCCTGTTCATCATGGCTTCTCCGAGTCAAAACACTTGAAGCAGATTTTACGTGCTGGCACTAGGCTATTGTTGCATTATATCTTAGAGAGCAAAAGGGGTGTCCCTTGTCAGAACCGTCGCTTCCCTGGCAGCTTCGTTGATTCACTGGCAGCACCGTCTGCCTCATTTGATCTAAGCCGACAGAAGTATCACCAGTCATTGAGTAGTTTGGGGTTGCACTCAACACACTACCCGACAATTAGAGAGGACTTGATCCTCACGTAACGTATTCTAATGGAAAAGAACGGCCCAAACGTGCCTTGGCTATTTAACCCTACTGAGTAAAGTATTCTCCGCGAGCACGCGTTATAGCCACACGAAGCTCTGCCTGTCGGTTCAGAGCGGAAACACTTGTCCAGGCTAGTTTTAGAGAGCTAATACATGCCTCTAGACCACGTGGTTAGGAAACCTACGGTTAAGGATTTTTCGCGTCAGCTGAGGGCTTTTGCGTAACAACACCAAAACTTTCCTTTCCCAACAGACAAATCTTCAGCATTCTGTTTACTTTCTTTCTTCATGTTCCGTGCATAATCATGGCGGGCCGTTCAAACACGGTTTTGTAACGACAAGCCCTTGTTCTCTCCAACTGCCGTTTATGTATCCCACCTATCGTCTCGTAGCTTTGTACGTACCACCTGACCCTCCTTGCCACAC